AATTTCAGTCTTGTAATCAGTGCTGGCTTGATATAAAAATTATAGTTTGGGGAAAACTTAGAGATTACTAGTAGGAAATTTAGTTGAGATTACTGTAAAATATATTTTAGCAGAAAATACATTGAAAATCTAAGAAATTTGCAAAATTATTATTGCAAAAATGATGAAAAAAGTGTCTGAATATCCTTCCTCCTTGCCATATCCAATCTTGTTATTCTGCAGAAAAGAGGGGGGGGGGGGGGGTAATTTTGTACTCTTATGATGCTGGAAAATGAAGGAATTTTTTTAAAATGTGGTTTATTTGAACAACAAGAGTCATGCTTATCTGCAGTTATTTTTTTCAATTTCTTAGATATTTTTAAAAATAATTATCTGAGTAAATTCTATTTAATCGTGAATATTTTAAAGCTATTTCATCACTAATGCTTATAAAAAATTCAAAAGATGGTGTAAATAATAAAAAATTATAATATAAGCTACTAAATGCATTTATCAGTATGTTTTAATAAAATAAAATGTATTTCAGCGATGCATTCTCAAGAAGGAGGAGATTAATGAACCCTCCCCTCTTACAATGAACAACACATGGACACTCTCAGGATGGTCCCTTTGCTTTCATTAAGAGTTCCAAGGTATGGTTTTCCTAGAAAATCTAGTTAATCTCTTCTTAATTAAATTATTTAGAACTTATGATAGATTATTAGAAAATAAATTTCTTCAGAACTGCAGTTATTTAAGCACTTTGCTTACAATTGAGCACTGTATTCAATTAGACAATATGATTTATCTGCCCTTGGCATTTAATCAATTTATTAATTATGTCAATAATAAGAAATGATATGCAAATGAATATCTTTGCCTTTCATGAGAATATACATATTTAACATCAATTCCATGAAATGTCCATGAAAATTGGCTAAAATGTAGGTCACCCCCTTCAAAATTACAAAATTTTCAGTGGGGATGTATTTGATTCTCTGATGCCAGCAACCCACTGCTGATAGATTTTTTCTTTATCGTATGTACATTTGAACTACATATAATTCTCTTTCTTTCCATTGTTTATTTTATCTACATTAGATTTCACTCTTTCCACAACCCAGCTTTTTCTTACAAAAACCTGCTGATTTTCTTCATTTTTCATTAATAACGGGTACCTGCTACCCTGAATGATTAACATGATCTACCTTGAGAATTTATTAGAGATAATAAGAAAAACAAGCAAAACATATGCAAGATTAATCATTTTATTTTAAAAGTTTGAGAGAAAAATAGAAAAATGCTTCAATTTATTGACATATTTTCTGTTTTACAGATGAGGGTCTGATTGACTGGGGTGTGAGATGTAACAGCCAATGGTGTACTTAAACTAAGACTGTCAGTCCCAATATTCAAGAGGTGAGATAAGCAATGGACATGTGTTCTAAATTTACTAAATTGACCACTTTTTATTAATGCTTCTTTTACTCTATAGGAAAAACCCCTACATAAACACATACATGGGCGCAGACATTTTGGACACCCAAAGTTGTGCGGAGGAGAAAATGCTACCTGGCGCGTGATTGGTCAATAAGAGAAAAGACTTGTTATGTATTTGACAAGTGAAATAAAGCTGATAAAAATGTAATATCAAGACTTGGGTTTCTTTGAGATATGTAGGAGTTACAGGTAAAAATTTGAAAGGAGGGGTGCTCTTTGGTTAGAGATTTTCATTTGGTGTCAAACGCACCTTGTTGTAAACAAATGGAAATTGAAAGTAAAAGTGCCGCGTGACGGTATATTTTTTCTGTCATGTTTTCTTTTCCAATATCTCGAACTTTCACGACAAAAAAGGCCATTTGCCCGAAATTCAATATATGTATGAGTGACAGGGGCTCAAGTTTGTATGGAAGTCTATGGGAAAACATTTAGTGGTGTTTGTCCTAGTTCGTGAAAGCGGGCATTTGGTGAATGGGATAAAGTCATGTGACCGTCTGTCCTGTGTCTAAAAATAACAGCTACCTCATTTACACAAAGTCTTACACACCACATTCTCACATGTACGCAGCGCAAGTATAGTACGGCATTAAATAATACATAACCCTGGTTACATATGTAAAATTTACTCTTTTAGACCAAGTCATGAAGATTAAAGATGTTTTAATATTTCAGTAGTCATTTTTCCAAATCTCTCTCTCTCTGTCTTACTCTATCTCACTCTCTGCAATCTTTTAAAAGTTACATTACATTTAATCTGCAGAAAGTAAAGATTTTTTTCTATAACTGCGCGGCCTAGAGTCTAGTATTTCATAAAATATTATGAACTTTTGTGTCATTTTATTAAACAATAAGAATATTATAATGAAACATTTGAACTGACAAAAATTTAATAAATTTAGAGAGGATTATCTTATATGTACCCTAGTAGTAAACGTGTAAAATTTATTTCTTGACTCAAAATATTTTCATATATAAGCCGTTTGCATCTGTATGAAAAAAAAGTTATTAAATCTTATTCTGTCTCAATCTCAATTAAATTATTTATCTGTATAATCATTTTTTAGCGAATCTTGAAATTTTTTACAAAAGGCGAAATCATTAATCTGTTTTTCGGGAAGAGGGTGGGGGGGCTGTTATTAAAATTCCAAAAGAAATAGTTTAGTTTAATTCTGAAATACATATACATGAACGGTCCTTTTCTTCCTTTCAATTTATAAGACTTTTATTACTGAAATGTAAAAAAACTGAAAAAGATTTCTTATAAGATACATGTCTCCTACATAACACTATAAATCCATGCATGTTTCAATTAGTACAAGTATTCATTTATCTTTAATTTCTGTTATTCTGTACATTCTGTACGCATTGGGCAATATGTTTATGTTTTAGCGCCTGTGCAATGCAACGTTGCCAAGGACTTTAGTCCTGTGACTAAGCGTATCTTATACGACTAGACCTACGCCGCTTGGTGAAATGCAAATTAGGCCCGACTAAATTTTGGCGTAAGCCCCGGAAGTGCGCCTAAGGTGAAGCTTAAATTTACCACTTTTGAGGAAACGGGCCCCTGGACATTATTTATTGACCCCTGGTTCCCCTGCTGATGTACAATATAAGGTGACCCCTGGTCCCCCTACTGATGCACAATTTAAGGTGACTTTCTTGCCCCCTACAGTGATGTACAATATAAAGTGACCTCAGGGGCTCGTTTCTCAAAAAGTCGTAGATTTGAGTCTAAGTTAGTCCGAAAAAGGAAAGTAACGCCAAAATTTAGACGGGCCTAAATCACGTTTCAGAAAACGGCGTAAGACTGGGCCTGAGACTTAGACCTTTCCGCTAGGCACTAAGCATGCGCAAATCATATTTTATTTGGTTTAGAGACTACAATAACATGTGGCGGATCACACATGAACCTGATTACTAAAAGTAAAGCACAAGAAGCACGAAGGAGCTTTCATGTTTTCCCTGGCTTTTCATCGTCTTTCAAACATATATAATGCACAAATCCATCTGTATTTTCAAGGTCAAAACATTTACATACTAGCTATAGCAGTAGCGGATTCAGAAATCTTGACAAAGGGGGCAGATAGGGTTAGGGATAGGGGCCCCCAGTCACACACACACACGCACGCGCCAACATGTGTACATACACCCCCTACGCGTGCCTGTATTTAAAAAAGAAATTCTGGCACTTCTTTAAGAAATCTTACCCAACTTGTATTAAGAATTTTTAGTTAAAAATTTCTAGTTCACCCCAACCTTGCAGAAAAAGTCTGCATCTTCGATATGGATTTACTTTACTACCTTTCTAATTTCCTACATAATACAGTATAATTTTCACGATTTTTGGCATATCGTATAATTATGTACATGTATATAAATAGGTATTATATCGTATACGCATAAAATAATCTTTCTTTTAACTCTTTATGATTAAATCACATGCCCCTTTTCCAAGTTGTGTACAGACTAAGAACTTACGCCTACTCACGAGCAGGCCTAGATTTAAATCACAATTTAGTCTCGGCTAAGTCTCCGCCTTTTTGTGAAACGCAACTTAGTCCGATTGTCGGGTTTAGACCCTGATTTAGTCCGGACTAAGCTTACGACTGGTCGTAGGCCTTTTTGAGAAACGAGCCCCAGCTGGTCTTATTAACTTTTTGTTACCTCTGGTATCCGAATAAAGATTATAGGAACAAGCGGAAGTCATATTAATTGTACACCACTAAGGATTTCATACTTCACAAATTGTAGTACTTGAATGAGACAAAGGTTATCTTATGTTGTACATTATTACGATGTGAAAGTTGTAAGTAGGCAATAATTAAAAATCACTGTATGTGTAGAATTATTTTTCAAATCCTCTCCAAAAAAGTTGCGACCCTAATTTTTGAGAGGGAAAAAGTGCACAATATCTCCGAATTCTCTAAATGTATGTAATTTGAATTTTGAAGACTAGTCAACTTGCCTGTCTTCAAATACAGTATATGTGTCCCAAAAGTAAAAAATGATAGGAGCATTTTTAAAAGTATTATCTGTTTTATTAAATGTAGTGTTGATTGGTTTACGAATTTGATGTGTTAATTCCGGGGAAAGCCCCAAACTTCGCAATACAGGGGGTACCCCTTTCTTGTAAGATAAAAGGTTGCGAAGACAACAAAATCATAATAATAATATACATTTTTAGAACATGTTTTTTTATCTTTCCTATCTAATAGTCCAGTCAAATTGTCATAAACCTTAACCCCTTCACTTCCGTACCGGTCAAATTGACCGATGGCGCGTTAAAACAGGACTTCGCGAAAATAAGATCTCCGTATCTATTTTGTGGTAGCATGAAGGTATATAAGCTATATATCATCTTTTTGGAAATTTTCTCCACTTTTAAAATATCTAAAAAGATTATATCTTGATTGCCGGTATTTAATCGATTTTACGTTGTAAAGACAAACGAGACTTTTTGAAAATGGCGTAATTTTCCAAAGCGATTGCCGAATTTCCAGACGATTGACAATTTTTTTCCTGATTAACTTGATAAGAAAGCATGGTATATTCTTAAAGAATATTTTCTCTACTTTTAGAATATGTAAAAATTATTGTTATTACTTTAAGGTATATTTTAAAAACAAGAATTTTCTTGCACTTATGTGTTTTTTATCGATTTTATTCGTAATATTTAAACAAAGCTCAGTTTTACGTTTATTTCTGTGTTGAAATAGGGAAAACAAAATAAAGCTGGTAAAAGTAGAGAAAATTTCCTTTCCAACAAGCCCTTATAGGCCTTCTTCCGCTCAGTATTTTCTTAATTACGATAATTTGAATTTGTGACCTTTGCATAGTTTTTATGGAAAAATCGGTCAATATTTACATGTAACGTCAAGGTCGATATTGTTGCGTCTTACTCGAAACAACATATTCTTTTATAAGACTTTTTTGACCATTCAAATATATTTTTTACTGAAATAAATGCATAATACAAAAAAAAATAGATTTCAAAAAACAAATATATACTTTCGTTCTGTCTTTTGTGAAGTGAATGTTGATTGTAATGATGTATATTTCATGAAGTGATATACAATATTGATGAAAATTGTAGATTTCCAAAACGGCGATCTTTACTAGAAAAAAATCAATCAGATTTTTAATATTGTTGTATCTTGTTATACTGTATACTTATTAATTTGCAATTTAATTAGATCTATATTTTACAATACAAAAACTCGCATTTATAAATAAATACGACTCATCACTGTATGAGTTGATACGAATTGAAATAAACACGTGTTTCCGCTTTGGTGTAAACATGATGGTGATCCGAAATCTGAACGTCAATTTTCATGATTATTTCACGACGAAGATCATCACATCAATGAATCAAATAATACGAACATGCCTTTGGTATTAGCAGGTAAGAATACGTGTATATTGACTGAAAAGTTTAAGTTTAAAACGCAATAGTTCACGTTCAAAAGAAAACTAAATGTACACATGTACTAGATCTTTATGTTTCAGTGTGCGTGTTTCGTATCGTTCAGCCAATTTTGCATTGCTTTTGAACTTTGATGCTCAATTTAACAATCACTCGTAAGTTCAAAGTAAAATCAAAGTTTTCATAATAATGGATAGTTGTTTTCAGTATCTATGTACCAGTGTGTACAGGTGTACATGACTACCACTTTCACATTGAAATTTTAGGGTGCTTTCAGCATTGCAACAATACTTTCATCTGTGAATACCCATTTTCTAAGCCCACCATGAACTACGAAGGTTAATTAATATGTAAGGACACCAATGAACAGGTAAATTTTTATTTTGGTATTGAAAATTTCTGTATTTCTAAAATTTAAAAAAATAAAGTCTAATTTCAATTATGTCATTCTCATGATATCGCATTCATACAAGTTTATAAACATTTGATTTATATTTTGAAAAATAAGTGTTCAAAACACATAATACTTATGATGCTTGATTATTCATACAAACACATTATTTAAACATAAAATATCTATCTGAATGAATGCTGAGATATGGAACAAACTGTTTTTATAGACTGCTGTTGTAAGTTCCAATCTGCATGAAGTATGTGGTTACAATTTCCATTTTCTCAATTTTTCAGACACTTTTCAATTATCCTACATCATATACATGGGTGGTCAAACTCACTGGATGGTTTATCAACACTCCCATGCTCACAAACAGCCTTGCGCCAGGAATTTTGCCCTGAAGTGACATTGCAGTCTATTGTCTCCTTTCTTTTTACAACCCTGGCAGCCATGCAGGTATGAAATCTATGAAAGCCATGAAGGGACATAGAATTTTTAAAATTTATAAAAGTAAACCGAGTTCTTGATTTATACAATCCGTTCTCTCGGATTGACAATCTGTTTGACATATTGCCAATTCATTCTCACAGATTACCAATTCGTTCCCTCAAATTACACAGTCCGTTACCTCAGGTTGTATAATTCATTCTTTTAGTTTAAAAGATTCATTCCCTCGGAATGTAAACCCTTCCCCATGATTTCGTTTAAATTATTTATCTGTACATATCGGATATGGTAATACATGTTTAAAAAATAGAATATTGAAGTATTTTACATCCTAACTTTTATTACATATTACGGTCCAAAATGAGAAAAATACATGAACATTTCCAAATCCATGTGCTAGTACTGATATTTGTACAACAAAAAATCTTAGAAGTTTTTGTGTTACTTGTATATAAGAATAATTGAAAGTCCTAGATAGTAAAAGTGAATATGGGTCCTGTGTAATCATAATATTTCTAAAATAAATATACGTTGAATTAGTTATGAAAGAGGTTGGAAACGACCGGTTGCTGAAACAAAATAAATAGAACGCACTTATTGATTAAAATGGTTGGATGTTTCTGTACATATATGTAATGAAATTCAAGAGCACAGATTTCCAAAATCATAAGACTGACGTTGTAACAAATCAAGATGTTGAATTATCAATCTGTGAAAACAAATTACCGGTATGTAATTCGAGATCTCAAATTATGAATCAAGGGGGCGAATTAGTAATCCTTAAGATCGGATTGTGTAATTCGAGATCTCATATTATAAATCGAGGGAACAATTTAGTAATCCGTGGGATTAAGATTGTCTAATTCGATTCGATATCATCTTTACTTTTTGAAAAATTTACGTGTCCCTTCCTGGCTTTCGTAGCAATCTAATACCATATTTTTTTACATGTTGCGATAGCGTAAACAGAGGTCTGGCTTTAGTCAGATTGCCATATATGCTATTTGTTTTAGTTCAGTAATTTTACCATGATGGTTTACTACAAGGTTTTTGAATTATAGCATCCTGATACATTGACTTAACAATATCATTTAACTGCTTGGATCACATAATGAATACAATTTTAATTTTAAAAGGAAACTCAAATAAATGTAGTAATTTTAGCATTCTTAATTTTATTTATAAATATAAATTTATATACACAATGACATGTATCTGTTTCAAAATACTAAAATCTTTTACAGGATAGAAGCTGATCACTTGTACTTGACAGCAAATAATAATGTCTTGGACAAGTCAAAGAATTTCCTCCGATCTTACAGAGAAATGACAGTTGATAAAAGAATGGTGGACACAAAGTAAAAGTGCTCTTCAACATTTTGTTGAAGATTTCAGTCTGATTTGGAATTCATCTTGCAATATTTCTGTATTTGTATATTTGGATATAAGCTACAAATTTTCAACTTATTGACTAAACAGTTTTGCATTTAATATTGCCAATGCTATCTATTATTATTATTTCCCTCCAAGATAACATGTCAAGTCTTTATTGTACCCCTTAAGCTCTGTTATATCAGAAAAATCTTGTAATGAAATCATTTAGTTTTTTTTCTTGTTAAATTAAATCCATGAAAATAAAGATTATTTTTAATGTCATCAAGAGAATGGATTTCTTGTTTAACAAAAAGATAGTATACATGTTTTGCTAGGGCTTTATAAGAAGCAGACCAGAATTCCTGCTTGCAAACTTTGTCATTCGCCATTTTTATTACGTCTACTATTAGATGATTTATCCATGTTTGAAGCATTTCAAAATTGATATTTACTTACAGTTTAAAGCAGAATTTTGTACTGATATGACCTTGACCCCCTGAAGAACAAGAGTGTCAAGGTCAATTTTTAATACAAAAATGTTCTTTCATCTTTATGGCCCATATCTAACAAACAATATCATGAAATATACAAAAAGTGTCTAGAATTTGTTTAGAATGTGAAATAACAAACAATAATGTATATAGCAAAAACTTTAAAATGATGTTGCTTAGCAACCACTTAAAGGTCATTAAACAGATATTTGAAATAAAATGATGCATGGATATTGCAGTTCTGATCCCTCTTGAGAGTATATTCAGAATTTTCCATTTCAGCATCCATTGTGTAAAATTATGGCAAGAATATTGAAAAGTGTTGAAAAAAATTGATGAAACTTTTGCACTTATTTGACTTTTGACCTCCTAAAAATAGTTCTAATGAGGTCAAACTTTAAGCAATTTATCTGTTGTATGCCCCTTATAATTTTATGACCTCACATCTAACTTTTATATGTGCTGGGATGCATAAATGTGTCTAGGATGAGTAAAAAATGAAAATTTCTGCCCGAAAATTAAAGAATTCTGCAAAATTTGCTTAGCAACCCCTTTTAAGTAGTTATATGCAGAATTGAAAAAAAAGTTTATGTGTTTCATGTAGTACAGTATAATGCTCTTTTGTGGGTATATCCCAAATTTCCTATTTCAACATACATCATACTTAATATTTAGCTTAAAGATGAAAAAGTATCAAAAAATTCCATAAAATTTTGCACTTAATTGACCTTTGACCTCAATTTATACTAATAAGGTCAGTGGTTGAGTATCTAAACAGTCATAAAATATCATCTCTAAGAAATTTCCTACAAAATGGTATGCATTATGCCTAGCTTTTCCCTTGGATAAAAAAGTTAGAAATAATTTAATAATGCCGTATCAAAAGGCCTCCAAAATCAGGTGAAATGCCAGGAAGAGAAAGGGTTAAACAAATTACAACAGAACTGTTTTCTTTATTCATAATTAGTAAATTGTATTTTAATTTTTATATGAAAATTCTAGAAAAATATGTTAAGGCAAAAGATGTAACTTTTTTTAGAAATAAATATTTACTAGTTTGATTAAAATATGTATTGCAGAAATGTGCTACCATGTGCAACAAGGGAGAAAATTTTAATCACTGTAAACAAACCTCTTTTCATTTTAAACAAACATAAAAAATAAATAATTAATTTTGCATACATTCCAAGGTTTAAATTACACCTATTTACTGAAGATAAAAGATTTGAGAATTTGATTCATGTCTAAGTGTAGATGTTTGATTGATTAATTGATTTATTGTATGTTGTTTA